AAACGATGCTGGCGCACAACGCTGCGTATGTGTAATGTTTGAAGTTTAATCAAGCATACGCCCGGACTGCAGGTGTATTTTTTTAAGTACTTGATTTTATATTAGAACGCTTTTTTTTAATTCAACTTCACATATTTTTGCATATTTTTTAAAAATATTTTCAACATCAATTATACACGCATTGAAACCGTCTCAAAAATTGTTTTGAGTTTTTATATTCAAATTAATATTGTTTTGAAATTAGGCCAGCTCTTTTATTGTGGCGCTTAACTTTTGGATGGTAATGAAACTGTTTTTGCACATTTGTGGCGTCCGCTCGCCTAGATTTTGTCTCGTGCTGCCGCTCGCCCAACGCGCAACTGATTTTGTGAAGTGCGTCTGAAAGCTCAGCCAGCCGCAGCGAGCTTCGGCGTTTCCTTGCAGTTTTTCCGAGCCCCAACCGAGTGGGCGAAAGCTCTCCACACCAAAACATACACACGCACGCACAGCGCGCGTCCATTCATGACCAAGGTTTCAATTTGGCCCGAAGTCACGTGGTCGCTTTTCACTTTCGTTTGGGCCCCAAAACGAAGTTGAAGCTTTGAAGTTTGCCCAAGATAACGAAACAAACAAAAACAAAAAAAGGAAAACTGTACCCCTTTCCCCTTGTATGTATTTCCTGCTCAGCCTCAACTGATTTGTTAGTGCAACTCCGAATTATGGCTAATTACTGTTGACAAATTATTTCTAATGCTTTGATTAAATGCCAATTGCGTTTCGTGTTGCACAACAGTTTCATTTGTCATTCGGCCCCTCTCCCCTCCTCATTAGCGCTCAACAATTTGCGAGGCATTTGCAAATAGCAAAGCCTAATGTTGCCCCACGTGTCGCACGGTGCTTGGCGCTGTTTACAAAACCGGAATTATGACTTACAACAAATGTAATCACAGGGAACGAACCTAATAAGCATTAGATAGAGCAAATCGGAATTTAAAACGAATACCAATTCAGGAACTTAATGCAAATCTGCATACTTAAAGTTTTATCAAGAAAGTAGCAACACATTTGGACAGCTGATCAAAAATATATCCCTTAAGCTCAACATAACTAATAAATCAGGTTACAACTAGGATATACCCTAAAGCCAACGCGAAACTGCTGTTGCAAATATTCTACACATATATGTTCCCACGGGAACTGCTGTCATAATAAGCATCGGTGCTTATAGTCCGATCTTTATGTAATCTTATAAATATGACATCTTAAGTGTAAAAGTGTACGTCTAGACTTTCGTTTTTTTTATATCTTTTTTGCAACGATTTTTTTTTTCAAATGTATATATATATTTTATTATTAACAAGTTCGCTACCACCTAATATTGGCAGCTTAAACTAGTAAAGGAGGGAAAAAAATGTAGCAAGACTTATTGCTAATTGCTTGCCGGACAGGCTATAAATGTTCCCCCACCTGGTCGTTGATTTCCCATCACTATCTCTTTGCCCTATCTACTTAAAACTTTATATATTCTATTTTAAATTTCTATACTTTATTAATAACATCTTTCTTTCTATTTTTGTATTTATTGTATTTTCTTTAAAAATATTATAGTTAATTAAGATTATTTTTAATTTATCTTAAGAAGAATGTTTTCTCTACTAACAACTTTTTTCTTAGCTGTAGGCTCTAATAACGTCACTGACAAAATTAGCTGTAAAAAGGGGCATAGCTTGCCGGACGGGCAAATAAATCACCTTCATCGGACGGTGATGCATTTTATTTTTATACCCTGAACCCATTGAAAATGGGTAAAAAGGGTATATTGTATTTGTGCAAAGTCCAAATGTATGTAACAGGCAGAAGGAAGCATCTCTGATCCCATAAAGTATATATATTCTTGATCAGCATCAATAGCCGAGTCGATTTAGCCATGTCCGTCTGTCTGTCCGTCCATCCGCCCGTATGTATGAACGCAAGGATCTCAGAACCTATAAGAGCTAGAGACTTGAAATTTTAGATGTAGGTGCTCCTAGTGCCTGCGCAGATCGAGTTTGTTTCCGATAATCGATAACTTACTCCGTTTCCTAGCAATCGATAAAAATCGATATCGATATCCTGTTTTTTGGGCAATTTTGATAAATAATAAGAGCTAGAGTCACCAAACTTGACATATAGCTTCTAAAATAGAATATATATATGCATTTGATGTTGGAAGAAGAGGGTTCAGGGTATCGCCTAGTCGGGAGCTCCCGACTAGAACCTCTTACTTGTAATAATTGTATGTATTTGAATAATTAGGAAGATCCCGACTAGAACCTCTTACTTGTAATAATTGTATGTATATGAATAATTAGGAAGACACGAGATCTTGTTGACCATAAATAAATAAATAAATTAGTCTTAGGTGTACAAGAATCCTGTCAGGTAGATCCTGTGGATGGCACCGCTTAAGTCTTTTGTTCATTGCCCTCTAAAGACAAACTTCAGAAATGGGGCACCTAATTCGTGCTCTTCTAGGAAAAGCAAGGCGCCTTGCTAGCGGGTTGGTATGGTAGCGAAAACGCTCAAAGTATCGTTTGGTTGTTGACGGGAGCTCCGAGAGACACCCAAGAGTTCCCGCAGGAGCATTACATATTCTTCTAAGAATCTTACTTTGTGCGACGCCTGTTTTAAAGGATGGGAATTTGCGGCAATCCCGAACATGTGCACCGCTTTAGGAGTCAATTTTTAAAATATATTTTCACTGTTTGTTGAACTGTTGAGATATGTCTGCTGAACTTGAGCTTTCTGTTCCAAATGTCGCCGAGGTATTTGAGACGAGTGGAGGTAATCGAAAAGTGAAATATTCTGCATGCTTGCACACTTAACGAGCATCTAAAAAACTAATTTGGCAACTCTAGCTCTTATAAGTACCAATATAGGCTCAAATAGGCGGAATTAAGACATCGATTTTTATCGATTTCACAGAATCGAGGCAAGCTACCGATGGCTTGAAGCAAACATGATATTTAGGATCACTTAGATAAGATAAGTACTCTTAACATTTGTAGTCTATAGCACTTAAAGTTTTTGAACTCGATGAGTTCATACATACGGAAAGAAGGACAGGCAGAAAAGACTATATTTATACTTTATAGAGTCGTTATAGAGTGGGAGAGGCCTCCTTTTGCATTTTATATATATAAGCAATGTACAATTCTCTTTTATATAAATTCAGGATATACAAATTACTAGACATTGCTCCATGAAAACAATTTATAAGTTGTTTTTGGCTTTAATATTTACCCCGTCAACAGCGTAAAGTCCCATTAGTAATAATTATTAGAGCACATTTAGTGCCTTGTGCCAGATTCGTCATTTAAAAAGATTTATAGCTCTATTTGAAGAATTTTTAAATTGATTTTGGGTTTCGAGAAATCAGACCTGACCATATTTAGAGCACAGCAAATGTAAATCCCATATAAGATATAGCTCTAATTTGTTATGAACTAACTAGATTATATAAACTTAAATAGGCCCATTTTAGTTATTATTTACAATGAGCTGATTTATTTTATTAAGTTATTCCCAAGTATATTTTTAATTCAAAAGCCGCTGCGCTTATTGTTTTATTTATTTACAAAGCTAATTCGATAGCGCGCAAGTTGCTAATAAATTTTTTAAATTAACAATAATAACAACAATAATACTACAACACCTTTTTTTTGAAAGACTTTCCTGTGCCACGTGCTGCACGCAAATTAGATTACGTATACGCCACGCGGGCCATGTAAACAAAATGTAAACTTATTTTTTTTACGACACATAAAACATATGAAACTCGAGGGAAACAATGCCATAAAAGTTGCCAACAATTTAATGAGTTTAAAGGTTTTGGCTTGAAATCAAATTAGTTAACAGCGTCTCGTCTTTTTGCGCTGTCATATGCGGCGTATGCGCAACTTTTTCTATGCAAATTGCTTGTGTCAATTAGAGACACGCCAAGCTCTTCTTTCAGTCAATATATCTTATTATTCTTGTGGCCTTGACGAAAATTCGACTCAATTTAAGTGCCCAAGTTCAGCAATAAACTTGCAACACGCATAATCCAAGTTGCAGCAATAAATCCAAGCACTTGGTTCTGAGACGAAGCAGGTAAACTTGGGCAAGGACATGATTCAGCGTAACTTTTAACAATTTGCGATATGTATGTAAACAGCTTCGAGTTTTTATATTATAAATACGCCTCTGCCTTCTCCTAGTCAAAACCCGTATCGATTTCTTGTACTACCCCACACTATCTACGGGAAATGTGTTCCTTATTAACTTTGATGTTTGTAGTCTGAACTCTATGAAAACGATATTTTACAATAAAAAAAAGTTGTAAGCGAGAACTTGCATATCAAGTCTGTTGTATTTAACTCTTGTAATCTACGAGTTATGCTTTGAAAACCTCTGAAAATTGATATTTATTGCAAGGAATCCGGAATGGGAAGAAAATATTCCTAATCTGTATACACTTCACAAGAAATTTCATATTAAGTCTGAGGCATCTAGCTCTTCTAATTGTATTATTAGTAGTATTATTACCATTATTAGTAGTATTAAACCACTGAAAATCGATATTTATTAATAGGGAGGGGTAAGGGTAAGTCAAATGTTCTTACGTTCTTTCACGTCTGATATATGTAGCTCTTATAATTTTCGACCTATGTCTTCAAACCACTGAAAATCGATTTTTTCGATACAACGATAGTGAGCGGAGGTTTGTAGTATTAAAGATGACTAGCTCTGAATTGTTGTCAATTTGAACAGGATATTATGCACTGAGCAATTGATACGCTTAGCGCTGCTGAACTCGGGTTCAACAGCCTTTGACCCGGCGCATAACCTAATTACCCACATAACATATTGCAGCAACGTTTCTGGGCTAAAATGAGATGAGAATACAAAACGTTCCCAGGAGCTGGCAATTAGGTTTATTCGCTGAGTTCTGAAGCGGACGTTGTAGCTTAGCATTATCTTAACTGAATCGAACGAATCACCTGCACTTTGAGCATCACGATCTTGATCTCGACTTTATCGCGTGTCGGGCTGCTGGCACGAGTCTGAGGTTGGGGTTCAAACTCTGTGAATTGTTTGTTGTTGCCATTGGTTCCCATTAGGCTGGCATCGGGATGTATGAAACTCATTTGAAATCAATATAAAACTCCACGCAAACTAAATCTGTTGCGAATATTCAACAAGTATGCACAATTGTTGTTGTGTAATTTCTTTTCGCTCCCTTTGTTTGTTCTGGTTGCACTTTATATAATCACAGCACAATTTGGTTGTTTTTTATTTGGTTAACAATTTCTTGCTGCATTCTTGCGCCCAAATTAATCAACTTAAATTATTAGAATTTAATTTAAGGCCAAAGAGCAGAGCAAATATTGTAATCACAGAACGGCCGAATCGCTGCGGTCGCACTGAGACGCGTTGAGGTTGAGCCAAGGGCCGTCAGCGAACATTTCTTGGCTGCTTTTTCTTTTATTTTCTTCTTTTTTCCACTCTTTTTTCCTCTTTTTTCATTCGGTCGCCGAGTGGCAAAGTGTCTGTGTCTCGATTTCCGCCAGCGCCGCTCAAAAGGAAGCAAGAGCAGTACTTGTCTCCTAGGGTATTTATAGCTGGCCGCGCAGCACGCGGCAACAAGATGCAAATCTATCTGCATGCTGCATTTGGCGGCAACTTCCGTACGCTGCGACGGCTCAGAGTCAAGTTCAAGTTTACCTAGCTAGCCAACAGAGTGGGAGAGTGATAGCGAGAAAAAGTAGGAGAGCGAGAGAGAAAGGGAGAGGGCGAATGTATTGGCCAGTTCATGACGTTCTGTTGTACTTGCTGCCAAAACTACTGACTGACACACACACACACACACCACACACACACAACACACAAAGGCACGTGTGGGTGCACACATTACGTCTGCTCTTCTTCTGTGTACAATGCTTGCCAAAAAAGAACCAGAGGAAAGCATAACTGCAGATTGCCGAAACTTAAATACCCTTGCGGAGGCGGGATATATAACTATACAATATAAAATATACAATATATATATAACTAAGCTATACAATATGCATAATATATCATTATTCATATCTTAACTAAGCTGACAACTAATATTTTCTTCGTCAGCTATAAGTTATACTTAGAATTCCGATCTGCTTAAGTTTATAATGGTCTGGCTTAGCTTGAAAAGAAAAACATGTTTCTATGAAAAACTCAATATTTAACTGATTCTGTTCCTACGAGAGCTGCACGATATATTGGTTCGATCCGGCACAGCCGCATCCATCAAGATATCAACAAAAATGAGAGACTTTATGGAGACCTCTACCAACTGAGCGCCTCTTACTGATCAGCAATATATGTGCCCTAAAGAAGAGCAGATGTCTTCTTCATATCGTTACAGAAATATCATAGCCCAGTGCATAGATTGCTTACAAAACGCGCATACGCCCCGACAGCCAAACAATTCTTTTCATTCAAATTTTCTCTTTTTCATTTCGTTTCGTTTGCTTAAGTGTTTTTTTCTTATATTATTGTTGTTGTCGTTATTGTTATTTATGTTGTTGTACTTGTCTTTGTTGTTTTTCCTTTTCAATACTGCTTTCGTTCAAATGTCAGCCTGTGTATTTGTTTAGTCTTGCTCGACAAGCATTTATTTGTTTTAATTCTTATTTATTTATTTTTTATACTCAATTTTTTTTAACAATTATCACTCGCAGCTGTCCTAAGTCAAAACCTTATCGAGAATCGGGAATATGCATATATTTATAATGAGCGCAACACGTTCTCAGCAGCACGTTTTACACTTGTGTTTACCTAAGAAGTTAGCTCGATTAATTCCATTAGACTTTACTTTGAATTGACGAGAGAGTCTACTTCTTAGAGGCAGACCTTGTTTTTGTCTTATTACTTTTTATTCTATTCAGCAACGAGGCGCAGTACCTTCTGATCCTATTCTAATGATCCTATTTCTTTAAGTTTATAAATATATACACATTCATTTATACATTTCCCAAATGTGCAAATAATATAATAATTCTTCAATAAAACCACATTCTAGTAAACTATGTTGCCCTTATAAGTGTAGCTTCACTTGTGTTGAAAAATAGTTTTTAAGGCAGCTCTCGATAGATGAGCTGCTTGGGGACGTTGCGGGTTCAAACCCAGACAAATCCATGCATAGTTGTTTCAACTATTGAAAAAGATAGGTTGACGGTATATAAATGTGTTTCTAAATTTTGTTAATAATATAAGCAAAAGGCATTTGAAGATCTCTATTCTAAAATGTAAATTCAATTGTTTTCTTTATTATTTTTTTTTTTTTAATTTTTGAATATTTTCAAAACATGCTTAATTTTTATTTAAATTAGAATTAAATGTGTAAACTTCTCTCTCCCTTTCTCTCTCTCTCTCTCTCTCTCTCTCTCTCTCTCTCTCTCTCTCTCTCTCTCCATCTCTCCATCTCCCTCCCTCACCCTCTGCAGCTTGATCGATTATCTAGCAACTAGCGGGCTGCATTCAAGCATGCCCATATGAATTTCCCACAAATGCGATTTAGTATTCCGTTGGCTAATTTACATTGAATTCTGCATGAAAAATATGTATTTATATATGTTTGGCTAGACTCTTTCAATTGCATAATTTGCATGCACGTGTAAAAGTAAGCACAACAACAAGATGCAATAATAGAAATAGAAAATATAAAACTAGCCCATTTTCCGCATAAGTCCCATCGCATCTAATGATGATCGTGTGTAATTTAGTAAAGTATCTGCAATTAATCTTCAGCTGCTGCTGCTGCAATTAGTCATTAATTAAAAACAGAAGCAAGTGCAACAAAATGCCAAAGGCGTGGAATTTTGCACTGACTTGTTCAGTGGCAGAGTCGGGTAAAAAGTTCATGAATATGACGTAGGTGTTTTATGTTCTGTAACAGCGGCCATTAGTCACATATATAATATTTATATATATGGGGTTTGATTATAAATGCATTTGTGTGGAAACCTGTCACGTGCCCAGCACTTTATAATTAATCTATCTTATACCAAGTGCGGTACTTTTTGTGTCCAGTATTCGCTTAAGCTGCTTCCAATTGTGCAATTGTTGAGCGATTCATGAAGAGGTCGTGTTTTCCTCCAGTTACTGACCCCTAAAATAGGCGCAAAACACGTTTTTTTTTCTTTCTGTTTATATATTACATATTTATTCTTCTCTGATCTGGTCTATCTCTCGCTCGCGCGCTCTCTCTCTATATCTCTGTGCAAAAAACATTTTCTTTAATTCATTTTATGCATAATTCATTGGGTTTGCGCCTCATTGCGCCGCGTCATGTGTAAATCGCGCGATGCTCGCGCCAATAGATATATATATATATATATATAAATTATATATTTGTATATTCCCCTGAACTCGGTAATTTCCCACCAACAGCGCTCCAATAATTAACTGGAAGATTTCATAGCTACTGACTCTGACTAGACATAGACATCGACAATTGCAGATTAGGGGATAGCTAAATGAATAATTATAATTGCGATAAACCACAAAATGTACGAGTTTTCAAACGTATTGCAGCAAATCGTGAAATTCTATTTTTATATTACGATATTAATGACATTAAACAATTATTTTAGCAGGAACATTATCAGTTCTATTTAAGAAATGTAAATTGTTAATTGTTTTAAGTGAAAAATTGGGTTTGCCAAAAAAAAAAAAATGTGGTCACACTTTTAATATTGCCTAGAATACTTAAACTTAAAGGATCAGGCATTGCATTTTGAAAATATAAATGGCCAATATTTATATTAGTATTGATATATTATATTTTTCAATCCACAAATTAGAAACCTTATTTGATTTAAAAAAAAGAATGGTCACACTTTTTTTCGAAAATCCCTTGGCCACTTACCTATTTATTGTTATTTTGGTATCACTGATATCCAGTCAGGATCAGTTTTCTATTCTTGGTATCATATTTCTTGCTATTTACCAAAACACTTTGAACACAGTTTGGGGAGTTTCTTCGAAACAACCTTTATATCTATGTATTGTTTACTTTCCTAAGATCCTCGTCCGTTCGCAGCGAGCATAAAACGGATACTGATCGCAATACCGTTTCGCTGGATTTCTTCACACTTCACTCAAAAGTGCCAAAACTTAAGCTCTAGTAGTTTCTACACACGCACGAGCGCAATGTCGCCAACTGGCAGCTTAAGAAATATATATATATATATATATGATAATAACTGTATATATATATTGAGCAAATATTTATGTTAATAAACAGTGAATTAAAAGAACTGCGAACTGCGAAAACAGCGCGCTTATTTGCTTTTAGAATTTAGCGCTTGTTGCGAAATGAAAACCGTTTTTGAAACTGAACTCAACTCGCGGACTGAGGTCGCGCGCCAAGCAAAAAACAAAAACAAAACGGGTGAACAAAAAAACAAACCTAGACAATCGGCAATCAACGATCGACGCCGATTAGCGATGGGCGATTGCACGAGCGGTTAACCGATGACGCAGTCGCCGATAACAAAGCGACGGCTTTCTGGTCACACGTAAGAACAAGAAGAAGAAGCACGGCAAACGGGTAAGCGGGTAACGAGCGTGGAAATTTTTGTTTATTGCACGCAGCGCATGTTCCATCAATTTGCACATTTTCGCGGGAATTCGCTCAGTTACAATTAGTTTAACTAATCTACTTTATTGATTAACTTTACCATATTAACCGGTTCGGTTCAGTTTGCCTCTTCTTCTTCTTATTTGCCATTTATTTGGGTTTCCTTTTGTTTACGCACAAAAAACAATCATATGATGCCTTTGATTAACATTAAATAACTAATTTAAGAATTAAGCTAAACTCGTTTTTGGCCAAAAAAGTGTCACGTTTATTTTGCACGAGCGCCTGACGGTCAGAATTTGTGACGTTCGACTTTAAGTCGTGTGCAAACAGCTCCTTAAACTTGGCAAATAACATGACATAACCACAATAGGCAAATATCGTTCATATTCAAATAAAATCCAGCAGATTTGCATCTTGGAAAATCGCAAATAAAAGACTAGATTACATATTCTTTTCTTTTTTCTTTTCTTTTCTGAGTTACATTTAAGCAAATTTTTTATTATAGCTGCTATGAATATTGGATCATGCTTAGCTCAACTTTTGTAGGTTATGTAGATCTTTAGGGGATTTTTTTTGGCAAATTTCAATTTGTTTTTATGCATATCTTACGTTTTTGGTTAGCGCCTAACCGTGACTTGAATTTGGCTAGTTATTCAGAGGAACCAATAGCACAGCTTTTAAATAATCTTTATTTATGTATGTCA